CTGGCAAACACAAGGTCCTGAGTTCAATTCCCGGTAAAAATAAACAAATAAATAAAAATAATAATAAGTTATTAGCAAACAGAATGCAAAAAATCATCAAAAAGACTGACCATACATCAACACCAATTAGGTTTCATCCCAGGTATGTAAGGATGATTTCAACATATGCAAATCAATAAATGTTTACACCACACAGAAGCAAAGACAAAAAGCACACTGTGGGGGGCCTGGCCCTAGCTCAGGCCTTTAAGTGTGCTCAGGCCTTTAAGTGTCAGCCTCAGGTTGCTGGAGTTCGAACCTCACACCTCTCCCGCTGGCCAAAAGTGCCCTGAAGGCATTCGAGAAAAAAAAAAAAAAAAAAAAAAAAAGCACACTGTGGAGGCCCACTACCCTCCCTGAAGGAGGAGCCACTATTTCCATCTTGGCTGAACCTGGCCCTGTTTCTATGCACTGATGTGTGCAGAGATGGCTAGGACTTTTCCTTATCCCTTTAATTGGTTTTAAGCAATGTAATCAGTCCAGCTGAGGTGCTGATGTTGTCTTTGAAGCAAAAATGGCAGGGCACTGCCTCACTCCAAGTTCCCAAACAAAATGTGTGAGCCACGACAAGGCAGGATAGAAAGTCATGCCTCATTTCGGGTACCAAATATAAAGCCCTTCCCAGTCCTACCAAGGCCCAAGAAGTTTACATTTATAATCCCACTGAAAAGCTACTGGAATTCTAGAGAACTCATTCTAATCTATCACTTGCAGTGCAACTCATGGCGAGAATAAAGATGCTAAGGCGTATTTGTAGTTATGGGGGCGAGGGTCCTAAGTCCAGCCAGGATAATGGCTAAGCATAACAAAGGGCTGAACCCAAGGCTGAACCTCAACCCAGGGCTGAACCTGGGTTTTATTAATTTGTGAAGAAAGGAGTGGCTGGAGGATGAGTGAATGAGAGTGGTGGGAAGTGAGTGAGTGCCCTGAGATAGGTTAGGTCTGCATTCACCTCTGCAATATGCAGAGAGGGACATGCAGCAAGAGTAACTGGCATAACACAACTGAGACAGTATCTAACATTTTGGGGTCATGTAATATTTTATGCTCTGGAAAGTGACAGCAGGGCTCTCCATCCCTCCTCTCCTCGCAGCAGCACAGCCACCAGATCACAAGTTTTACTGGGGGGGGAGGGGGAAGAGAAACATCATCCTGTAGTTTCTGCTTCAAAGACTACACATCAGCACCTCTCTGGGCTGATCTGCATTGCTGAAAGCCAAATGAAGGGATAATAGAAAGTCCTAGCCAGGTGTGCACACATCAGTGCATGGGAACAGGGACAGGTTCAGCCAAAATGGAGAAGACTGCTCCTCCTTCAGGGGGAGTTGCCTACGTGGTCCTCCACATTCTGTAGCAACAGATGCAGAATAAACTTGACGAAGTCCAAAAAAAGGGGAAAGACACCCCTGTACCCGGACAGCCAGAACGAACATTGTCAAAATGACCACAATTCCAAAACAGGTACACAAAATTAATGCAATCCAAGTCAAAACACCACTAACATTCCTCATGAGACTAGAGAAACAATCCTAACATTCATATGGAACCATGAGAGGCCCACAGTAGCAAGAGCAATCCTAGGTAAGAGCAAAGGAGGTGGCATCACAATCCCAAACTATAAAGATTTAGTTATTAAAACAACACGGTTCTAGGTTAGTTTGGTTTATTTATTTTTATTTTTATTTTTTTTGAGACAGAGTTTCGCTATGCAGTTCAGGAAGGCCTTAAATTGTACTTTGTAGCCCAAGTTAGCCTCAAACTTGCAGCAGTCCTCCTGCCTCAACCTCCCCAAGTGCTGGGATTACAGGAGTGTACCTCTATCCCAGGCCCATAGTACTATAATGGCAAACAAAGAAAACCAGACAATGGAACAGAAGAGAGCATGAAGAAACAACCCCAGGCACACTCAACTGGCTGATCTTTGATAAATGGGCCAAAAACACATGCTGGAGCAAACACAGGACAACTGGCCATCCACGTGCAAAAGAATCAAGTTAGACCAGTATCATATCTCTCACCATGTGAGAAATGAACTAAAATAAAAAAGATCTAAATATTAAAACAGAAACATTTAACTTGCTAGGAGATAAAGCTGAAATCACAGGCATAGGCAAGGACTATCTGAACAGAACTCTGACTGTGTGAGTAATACCTGCAAGTCATCAAATGGATTTTTTTTCTTTCTTTCTTTGGTGGTACCAGGGATCCAACTCAGGATCTTGCCCTTGCCAGACAAGCACTTATGCCACTGAACTATCTCCCCAGCCCTATCAAATGGGATCATATCAAATTAAAAAGGCTCACTTAGCACTAAAAAGGAAACATAGTAAAGAGACAACTTATACAATGGGCAAATTTTTTGGCCAGCTACAGCTTGGACAATGAATTAGTATTTAGAATATATAAAGAACTCTAAAAAATGAGACCTCCTAAATAACCTAATCAAAAAACTGATTCTGAGATTTATACATACTTTATGTGTGCAAAGCATTTTATTTGTAAAGTATTAATCTTCCAAATAACTACTTTTAAAGTTTTTTTGTAATCCCAATTCTCGAAATGGTTTGAATGTCATGGTTAGAAGTCTGGAAGCTCTAAACAACTTATTATTAACCAAAGTACCCCATGACGTCTGTTGACCAAGACAGACACAGCACATACTGCAGTATTGCTACCTATGAAAAAGAGGATCGCTGGAAGTTCCAGGCCAGCCTGCACTACAAGTGAATTCAAGGTCAGTCTGAACTACATAGTAAAAAACACAAAAAACCAAATGAAAGAAAACAAAAAGCAGCAGGCTGTAGTAAAGGGGTCAATTTCATTTTTTCAAGGCAGTTCTGATTACTACATAGTAAGACACAAACACAACTCTAAACACACTCAGCTGGGAATAGAGCTGGGTAGCGCAGTGCCTGCCTGCCAAGCCCAAGGTCCTGAGTTTAATTCCCAATACCAAAACAAAACAAAACCACACTCAGCCACCTTATCTTTCACAAAGAGGCCAAGTATGTTCACTGGAAAAAGATACCTTCTATAATAAATGGTGCTGCAAAAGCTGGCTTTTCACAAGCTGAAGACTAAAACTAGACCCATGTCTATCACATGGGCTAAGCTAAGATAAAAATGGATCAGAGATCTAAACATTAAAGCAGAAACACCAGGGGCTGGGGAGGTGGCTCAGTGGAATTAGCGCTTCCCTGGCAAGTGCAAGGGCCTGAGTTCAATCCCCAGTTCCTCCAAAAAAAAAAAAGCAGAAACACCAAATTTACTGCAACAAAAACTAGGCAGAAATCATAAATATATGAAAAATATCATCTGAGATACAAATTAAAACACTGAGATTCCATCTCATTCCAGAAAGGATGGCTATCATCAAGCAATCAACCAATAACAAATGCTGGTGGGGTTGTGGGGAAAAAGCAACCTTTCTCCACTGTTGGTGGGAGTGCAGACTGGTGCAACCACTGTGGAAATCAGTGTGGAAATTTCTCAAAGTAGGGGCTGGGGAGATGGCTCAGTGGAATAAGCGCTTCCTTGGCAAGTGCAAGGGCCTGAATTCAATCCCTGGTTCCACAAAAAAAAAAAAAAAAAGAAAAGAAAAAAAGAAATTTCTCAAAGAACTAGGGTTAGAGGTCCCATAGGACCCAGCTACTTCCCTTCTGGGCATTTTCCCAGAATTAAAAACATCCAACCACGGCATCATATGTACATTCATGTTTATAGCAGCACAATTTAAAACAGCTAGATCTTAGAAACAACCCAAATGCCCTCAACTGAGAAATGGATAAAAAAGATGTGGTCTTTTTACACAACAGAATACTACTGAACCACAAAGATGGATAAACTTGGGACTTTCATAGGACAACTGGAGACCACACTCATAAATGTGTAAACATCATATTGTCTCCCTTGTGTGAAAAACTAAAATAAATGAGGTGCAAAATTCGTAACTGATATTGTGAAATGGGAAGAAATTGTTCAAAAGGAAAAAGGAACTAGGGTGGGGGAAAGGGGAGAGGAAGGAAGGAAAAAGGAAAAAAAACCAAACAAACCAAAATACAAAATAGTTATACTACTAGATTCTCTTAGTTCATTAAAAAGAAACATTTGTGCTAATATCATTTGGATAATCGCTGCATCTGTTATTCTGCTTTTTTTCTTTAATCCTTTAAACTTGACTTTTACCACTTATAGAGTATTAATACTTTATTTAATTTGTTTTGTTTTGTTTTTGTCTTTTTGAGACACAGCCTTGCTATGCAATTCAGGCTGGCCTTGAGCTCTCTTTGTAACTCAGCCTGGTCTCGAACTCACAATGATCCTCCTGCCTCAGCCTCTCTAGTGCTGGGATTACAGGCATATACCATTATGCCTGGCTAGAAAATTTTCTATATTCATATCTTGTACTGAGTAGCTACTGTAAAGATAACAATACCCAATGTATTGATCATTGTTATCCTGTTTTATTATGAAATTTTGTTTTACTTTTCTCCATAAAATTTTTTAAAAATAAAGAAACAAAACCAGCTCAAAAACAAAGTTATTTCTATGAAAGTTGAATGTTACAGAAATAAACCTAATCTTTTCCCACTAAATGGATATACTAGGAGAGTAAAGTTAACCAACAGAGAATAAAATCTTTCCTCCAAATTATTCATTAAGAAAAAAAGGAAACAATGGATTGTCTTCTCCATGGAGTAGGGAACAGGAAAGACGAGGGAACAATCAGCTAACCACCGGAGTAAAAACTTGCAGACCCTGAAATTATTACTGCTGTAGATGGATCTAAACACAAACAATATTTGGGCTTCCAGTAGTAGTAAATAAGTCTAAAGGAAAATGCAGAGGTTTTAAAATGTATAATGTACTTATCACTTTCATAAACATTGTGAAGTTACTAAATGTAAAGCAGATACTAAGTACTCAATGTGCAAAATTTTAACAAATATGGAAGCACTTACCAAGATTTATCCAAATTCCACCTGGCTTGAGTATTTTCCATATTGTGTCAATATAATCAATTACATTGTGAGCTGTGTCTATGAAGAAACAGGTGGCAATACAGTCCCAGGTATCTAATCAAGAAAAATCAAATCGCTGCATCTGTTATTCTGCTTTTTTTCTTTAATCCTTTAAACTTGACTTTTACCACTTATAGAGTATTAATACTTTATTTAATTGTAGGGATACAGAAGCTAAACTCATTTGATCAACATTACAATCAAAATAACCAAGTAATCATTTATGGGCAATATTCTAGTTCATAAAGGTTTTATCAATCTGATAGGCAATTTGAAATCATTTGTAACAGCATGTATCATCAGATATCATTATCAAATGATACTTCTAAAGTTTTATTATCTATTCAATTTCTAGCCTTTATACTTTTACTCATTCATTCATGCATTCACTCATTATTCATTCATTCTTTTTTGTGGTGCTAGGGATGGCACCCATGACCTTGCACATTTGCTAGGCAAATACTCAATCACTGAGTTACACTACTTGGCCCTGGCTTTCATTTAAAATCTGTTGACAAAATAATTTAAAATTCTGATTTAAACCAGTGCTGGGGAACAACCTGCTCGGGACCCCCTCCTGTCCCTCTCTCGGAATGGGCTTTCTTTCCCTCAATAAATATATTTTGCTTATAAAAAATAAAAAAAATAAATAAACCAGTGCCAATCAATTTTGGCAGGCTTCAGAAAGATTGCAGAACCACTGCCAATTTGAAAAATGAGTAACATTCAAATACCTAAATACGCACCCTGCCCTGGGATACTCGCCAAGAAGAGGAGCAGGGCAGTCAGGAGGGAGCAGTAGTGGGCTCCCTCCTCAAGGCCATGGCCTGGCTCAGGGATAGGCAGCACTCTGAAAGTGCAAGGCTGTCCAGCACTGGCACAGCACGGGCACCTCATCCTGCCCAAGGTTGCCTACCATCCACTCCCAAACCTCGCTCCAGAGCAAGTGGCATTTACTTGCTTAAAAATTTTCATTATTTCACTATTTTAAGACCTTGCTCCATAATTTTTTATCCAACAATTAATATCTTCTATCTCTTCCTAACATTGTGTAGGGCTGTTTCAATCTCAAGTGTCTAAGGTAAAATGAACAAAAACCTTTCAATGTTGTAAAAAAATAGATACAACAGGAACTTTCTTTGTCATACTCCCCTGCTGCAAGCCCTCTCTCCAGAGTGGCCTCCCAGTGCTCTTGGAGGACAGGTCAGAGTCCTTGCCAAGGCTGCGAGGTCTGCTTCACCAACCTCTGCCCTCTGGCCTCCCCCACTGTGCCCCCAGAAGAACAAACACCCTGCCCACCACCCCATCTGTAACACTGAACCACCTCTAGCCTAACATCTGCAAGTCCTGACCTTTTACTTTTGGGGTTCTCTGCTAGACTTTTTTTTTGAAGCTTCTGTTCTCAAAAAGGCCTTCCCTGCCAACTCTATACAAAACAGTCCCTCCCAATCCCCCTGTAGCCCCTGTGCCCGATTTAAAATTTTCCTGCCTTGAGTCTAAGTGCCCTGTGTACAGACTCCCTCACTGTGCTCCACAGTCTACTGCTGTTTTGTAGGTGCTGATAAATACCTGCTGCATGTTCTACTAACTACTCAGCATTCTATGGTTCCTGCTCCTTTTACTGCCAATACCTCTTCTCTTTTCCCATTACCACCTTTCTCTAATGTCTAGGGTTAAGTGTTTTTAACACTTTGCCAAGCTGAAGACCTAACCTATGCAACCTGATTCCAATTTTCTTCCACAATCTTGACTCCACCTACTTACTTCTCAAGGCCTGTCTCCCGCTAAAGTTTTTTTTTTTTTTTTTTTCCTGCCTGTCTATGCTGTTCTTCAATTATTTTATTTGTATCTCTGGATCTCGGCCTGCCTCAAACACAAATGAGGCCTACTCTTTAGGTCACAGTGTCTCCATGGAGTCCCCTTCTCACTCTGGCTTATTTGCATGCATTCATTCCCATAGGAACTCTGTTTACATGTGGTCTTATACTAACTTACCCAAGGAGTTCTAAGTTACTTGACTATAAATGTAGTTCTTATCACTGCCTTGGGCCTAAGCTTGAAAATACTCTTAATTTGTCCCAGAAATGTATCTTATATTCTACCATCAAAATGAATGACCAATCATAAATTCATTAAGGTATAGGACAAAAGACCTTTAAAATGCCTGCTTAGAACTTACTGCATTCTGAATAAATCTCCTGAAAATCTCCTGCTGTCATAGAAAAGTTAGAGCCAGGAGGAAGACTATGTGGGTCAACATCAGGAAAAAAGACAGGTCGAATCTGATCAGCTGACTTCCGGTTATTGCTAAACTGATGGATCCAGGGATAAAGTTTGTATTTATTAATTTCAGAACATCTGCAAAATATGAGTATAAAGTTCAGTGTTAACTAAACATTTCACCAAGAATATCTAAACCTAATATATAATCTAACTGAATGTCTGCATGTACAATTCACTAGAAGACACTACTCCCCACTCCACACCCCGAAATGTAAATACACATGTAGATGAGAAAGGAACCTGCATTCATTGATGTATGCTGTTAGTTTAAATTTATAAAAACCTTTGAACTTCAAACCCAAGTAAAAACAATTCAGCTACTTGTTTTTAAAATTTGTATGGGCTTCAACCAAAACAGTCTGCTACACATTTTAATTATTTTGTATAATCCTTTTCTTTTGCCCCTTCTCACTAACCCCTAAACTCATACTGCCACCAAAGACAACAACACATTTTTAAATGAGGCAGCTATCTGTTTCTAACATACATCTTCTGACTCTAAAATGGTGAATCTTTTCTACTACCTAGCAAAAAAGGCCACAAAAGTGCTAAGATCTTTCCAACTCAGGTATGTGAAAATACTTGGCCATTTGAAAGAATCTGCTGAAGAACACCAGTTCTGACTGACTGCTGCACTAAACTCTTCATATGAGAAATACAAGGGTGAAGTTTAGGGAATAATGAGAAACTCCACTTCCTGGATCGTACTTAGTCCTGGAGAGTATGCAGAGCGGTACCTTCTGTTCTACAGAATCCCAATCATGTTCTGAAGAGTCGTTTACTCATCTCACTTCAACAATCTATTATTAGGCAATTGATTAAAGTGGCAATTTGTATAAAAATATTGAGTTTAACATAAATACCTAAGATCTACACCATAATCACACACTACATAAATTCAGAACTTTTCAAAAATATGTTAAGTCATCAGATTTTGAAAAATTACTATTTCCAACAAAACAACAACAAAAAAAGAAATACCTGTTCAGTACAAAGTTGGAAGAAAAGAGCATAAAAAAACTCCATTCATTTCCTTGACAAGCATAACCTAGCATAGCTATTTCCCAGGCCAGTCTTCCTAGTCCAGCACCAGGTACCAGAATATTTACTTTAGAAGGATCCCTGAAATGAAATAAGGCAATTATGTCCAACCCCTCAAAGGAAAAAAAAAGCAAAGGAAAAACAAAAAAGGAAAGACAAAATCCATATTAAAAACTTAGTCAATAAAAATAAGCTCACTAGGACTCTGACTCTGAAGACTAAGAAATATTTCTAAATATCAATTCTTATAAAGAAGCATAAGGAATTGTATGTGCTCAGATATCTGAGAGGAATTTTTTAACCAATTTTATTTTTTTCAGAAAAAAAGGAGTTACCTTCTATCTGAAGACACATGAAGTGATTTGTGTCATAAACAGCTGTCACCTGAACAGCTGTCAGGAGGACAGACTGTCCCTAAGTGACCCCAACTGCATATGAAGTTCGAACAAAATCATTTGAGACAAGAAATCGAAATGTGACTTTATTTCTAACTTCTCTATGTAATTCAATGACTAATAGAACAAAAAGCAGATTAATTATATTTGTATCTTAATGCATTAGGCATGTGTACATTAAAGCAATATTTATTCCGATTGGGAAGAATGGGGAATTCAGTCTGTACAAGTTCTCTAGGGATCTGCTTGTCATCATTAAAGCATATGTATCTGCAGATGGAACATGTGTTTGTATGAAAACTTGAACGAAGTGTGTCTCACTGTTGTACTTTAGAGGCACAAAAACCATTAAAAGAAGTTTGTTAAAGACTTCATACAAAGGGACCTACTATCACCAGTAAGAAATTTTTTAGTATTGATACTGATGAACTCATGCCTAGAAGGAACAGAAGAGGCTAATGTAAAATGCTTTCTTCTTGTACCAGATAATAAACAGGGTTCATGCACTTTTTTTTTTTTTTGTTAGTGGTACCAGGGATTGAACTCAGGACCTTACGCTATCTAATCAGCTCTTTGCACTCTAATTTATAAAAAAAAAAAAAAAAAATATGGACCATCCTCTCACTCTGTAACTCAGTGGTAGAGAACTTGCCTACCATGTGAGAGACCCTGGATTTGATCTCCAGGACTGGGGAAAAAAAAAGGTAATGCAACAAGTCATGTGTGGTGGTCCAGGCCTGTAATACCAGCACTGGGGAGGCTGAGCCAGGAGGATTGCTACCAATCTGAACTACACAGGGAAACCCTGTCTCAACAACAACAAAAACAAAGAACCACCACCAACAAAAACCCACCAAAATAATGCAACAACAACAAAACAATTTATAATTAAACTGATAGACTTTAGTTTTAAATCATAGTCAATTTCATGATAGCTGATAAAAAATATACAGAAACTAAGTCACCTTAATCCTAAGGAAAGCTATGCTAATTAAAGGTATCAACAACCATTTTGGTAGCTTGTGGAAATCTAACTATGACAGCTACTACCAATTAATCTAAGTTGCAGAACTTTCTACCCTACCATATGGGGAAAATTACACTGTGTAAAACTACTCTTACAAGTTTAGTCCACTGAGTACAGAATATACCAAGGGTGCACCTTATGAATTAGCAGACTACTTCAGACATGTAAATTATTTGTATTACAACAGAGAGGATTTTAACAGGCACACAAGAGACACATTAAAACATTCCTACAACTGAAAAAATAAACTCAAAACTGGTTTCTCTTATGAGAAACCCAAAGTACAAATAATTTAAGGAGAAAACTAAAGATGACAGGAACAGGGACCCAGACTCTGGTGATGGGAAGGGCTGTGGGGATGGGGAGACGAAGAAGAGGGCAAGCAGGAAGAGCCAGGGGCAATGTGTGCGCACACCAATGTACAGTAACGCAGAGCCAGGCACAGTGGTGCACTCCTGCAATCCCATCACTCACAAGCTGAGGCCAAGAGGACTGCCAGGGGTTTGAGGCCACCCTGAGCTGCATAGTGAGCTCAAGCCCAGCCCGAACTACATAGGATCTTGTCTCAAAAATAAATAAAAAGAAAAAGCAACATGATTTGAAACAAAAGGTATGTATTATATATTGTAAATATATACTAATAAAATTTTAACAGAACCCCTGACTCTCCGCAAAGTGCATAAAAACAAGGGACAAGGGTAGGGCAAGGACAGATGACCCAAGCCTGTCTCACACATATACAAACCTGCCAAAATGAAAGCTATTAATCTGTATAAGCAGTATACTCTAGTAAATGGAAAAATGAACCAAGGGTGAGACACAGAATGTTTTCCTTACAACTTCTCAACATTACCCCCCACTTACCCAGTACTGGGGATTGAACCCAGGGATCTGCAATGGTTAGGCAAGAGCTGTACTACTCATTTTTCCCTGGCCCTTGGAAAAAGTTTCAGACAGGTACTTACTACGTTGCCCAGGCTGGCCCAGAATTTACGAACCTCCAGCCTCAGCATCCTGAGTAGCTACAGTTATAAGCCTGTATCACTATGCTGGGCTTTCACCTGTTCTTTACATAGGGCTACAATATACACAATAAAATGGAAAGTTCCTCTAACTACGTTTTGTAAGAAACTAAGGCACTCTGGCAGTTTCTGCTATAAATCTTTGCGAAGTTTAGGGCATTTCTATAAATGCATATGGAGCATAAGAGTATAAATGAGTAAAAACCTTAATGATGCAATCATTTTCAATGAAATGAAGCAGGGCTGGCCAAATAGCTCAGCAGATTAAACAGGTGGATCTCTACAAGTCCGATCTAGCAGTGAGACCCTGAACACCCTTGTAGACCCTTCCCTAAAATACCAAAAAAATAAATAAATAAATAAAAAGTAAAAAAAATAAATGAAATGAAGCTTTAAAAGCCAAAAAAAAAAAAAAAAAAAAGAGAGACACATTCAGTATGCGCTCAGTAATCAAATGTTTCTGGCTGGAGATTCTCAATAAAAAGCAGCTAGTGAGTCAATTTACCAAGTTTCTATGGCTCAAATATAGGAAAGCTGTATATACCACAAATGTGCCATCCATCACATGAAGGGGAAAGTCACACCCACGCAAGGAAGACTAAAGGAAAGCTGGGTCTTCGTGGGCGGAAAAAGCCACAGACTGTTCACGGAACACTTTTGGTGACACCACTTTACCAAGAATAAGAGTTCATTTCTTCAGATTTATTTATTTATTTACGTATGTATGTACGTATGTATGTGTGTATGTATTCAGGTCAGGGTCTACGGGGTCTCACTACAGACTGGACTCGCAGTGATTCTCCTGTTTTCAGCCTAAGTGTTGGGATTATAGGCGCGGGGCACCATACCCAGTCTCAAATGCCTTCCCAGTGCACTCCGGGGGTGGGGACGGCACGGCAAGGCAGGGATTGAACCCGGGCTGCTGTGCTCTGCCTAAGCAGGCGCTTTAGTCCACTGAGCTATCTGGTGGCCTTCAGTTTTTATTTCTTACCAATACATTTGCATTACTCATTACACCTTGAGGTCTACTTTGTTATATACAGAATGATCCTTATATTGCAGCAAATCAAGAAACTTCCAACATAGGATTCTTCTTTTGTTGTATCAATGTCATGACACTTGACTGACCCCTGGTGGTTGGAATACTTAACAACTTTTAATCACCAAAATGAATCTCAGCTATCCAGGGTCCAATAGCCATGAGCCACAAGCAGCTATTAAAACACTTAAAATGTACAAGTTGCATAGTAAGTGTAAAGCAAAACCAGATTTCACCTGTTTTCTATTACCTCTTTATGTGGCTACTAGAAACTTCTAAACTGCATGTGTGCCTTGCTTCTGTGGACTGCACCATGTTTCTACTGAACAGTGCTGAGTACACACTTAATTCACAACACCTTAAAGTGGGCTGGGGCTGGAATGTCCCTCAGTGATAGAGCTCATCCATGCTTGAGGCCCTGGGTTTAATCCCCAGTATAAAAATAAAATTACACTGAGCAAAAGCCAAGTGTGAAATGATGTTACAAAACATAAAATTAGAAAAATAAAGGAAAGTATAAATAAAAAAACAGGTGTCTGATGTCTTCTTTAGCATTATAGAACATTTACTTAATGTAGCAATGCAAAGTTAAAGTAACAAAGCAAGTGCATTTAGTGGTTATCTTAAGGCAAATATGTGCTGAATGGTTTGCAAGGCAATTTTAACTTTACCCAGAATACATTTCTCTTAAAAAATAAATCTCAGAAAAATAGGGTAAAATATCAAGGCTTAATAAAGCTAGGTGCTCAACTTTAAATTATTCACCAATGAAAACAGGATGAAAATCGTAGTGTCCAGTGCCTTTAAAATTATGATCCCAGGGCTGGGGATATAGCTCAGTGGTACAAGCATCTGTGTGGCAAGCACAAACTCCTGAGTGTGATTCCCTGGACCACCCCCCAAAAAATTATGGTCCCAAATTATCTCTTCAGCCACTGCCAACACAGACTTCCTCACGTTAGCCAGACCACCTCTCAGCGATACCAGACGAGTTCCTACAAACTCACAGAAACTCAGTGTGTACTTATGACCTCATTGTACAAATTATTCTAATTTTCCCAAGTATATTGGACAAAACTTTGTTACCCTTTCAGTAATCTACACACTTGTTACAGATAACATCAAGTTCTTTCCTTTGCTTCTTCCATTTAGTATAACAGTTACCAACCATGAACTGCAGGCCAGGCACCTGTTCTTGTAAATGAAGTTTTACTGGACAGAGTCATGTTTTCTTGCCAGTTACTTGTTGCTTATGGCCAATAGAGCAGAGCTGTGTAGTGGCCATGAACACTACAACTGCTTTCAAAGCCTAAAATGTTTACTGCCTGGCACTTTGAGAAAGCCTGCCAATCCCTGATCTGAATCCATCATGAACCCTTTTCCAGAGCAGCACACATGGCTTTTTATTTCACTGCATGATGTCACTGTAATTTATCAGCATCTCAATTAAAGACATATTATTTCTAATTATTTCGTTGTTCAATGTTACAACTGTTGGCCTGAGTAATTTCTACACAGAAGTGTATCTGCAGAATAGCTTCCTGGAAACTGAACTGCAAGAATCAAGTCATACACCCACAATTTGACAAAGACCGGCA